GCCTTGAACGCTGCCAGGGATGGGGCAGCCACGGCTTCTCTGGGCACCCTGTGCCAGCGCCTCAGCACCCTCACAGGGAAGAGCTCCTGCCTTACATCTATCCTAAGTGATTAATTTCAACTCTGCCTCCTCCTGATCTTTACACCTCCAATATCTGAGGTTTGGGGCTTCAAGTCCTCTTCCACACGATTGATGTATTCCGAGACATTCAGATTTCCTGAAGAGTGAGTGGGCTCCCAAGTACAACAGCGTCACCCAAGGCCAGGGAGTCCTTTGTTACAGTTCTTTAAGCAGGGATTAGCTCTTCAACTAAGTCAACTCAAACTCGACCCACAAGAGTTATACGAGGTTAAAACCGACCAGAGATGATTAGAGAGCTATCAAGTTCCAGCAAAAGCTCATCCTTCCCAACATGTGCTTTGCTCCAGAAACAACCACCACTGATTTGCAAAGCAAATCCGAGTTCAGCTGGACCCTGCCAGCACAACAGCTTAAAGCTGAGAGGCTCCAGGAATTCGTACTTTCACTATTACATTCCTTTAATGATCGAGCTCCCCTTTACAAAGTTCATATTTGCTCTCCTGAACACAGCAAACAGAGCCAAAAGAGCCAAACAACTCCCTCAATCCATCAGCCACGAAGGTTTTGTGAAGCACGGAGCATCACACGCTGCTCCACAGGCTGAGGAGCGCTGCAAAGGCAGCCAGACGTGCCATTTGCATAGCAAACGAAGAACAGACCCAGCAGCGTACTTAAGAACGCAGGCAAGACCAACACCACGACTGCTCACAGCCACCACGCACCCTCAGCCTGCACCCCGCAAGGAGTAACAGGGCTGAGCTGCCACCCTTTAGCCCTGTTAGGCAAAAGCAACGCCTTGATTCCTTTAAACAATGAACTATTCGAATGTAACTGCCTCACTGCAAGGAGTTCTCAATCCCTGCTTCAAGCAATGATGGGGAAGGATGGGGAGCTCCTCTGCATGAACTCCTCGGCTCCAGATAGCAGCAGCAGCTTTCAGGCACTCACACTCCCCCCCCCAGGCCCTTGTGTTACCTCAAGGTTTCACGTCTCAAGCTATGGATTCAGTTTTAAAAGCTGCCATGGATGGGAGGCGCTGCAGCCGCGGCACACGCAGGCTTGAGGCCACTCACCTGGCCTGGCACATCCCAGGATGAAGGTGGAGGGAGAGTTCCCGATGGAACCATAGAATGGTTTGCGATGAAAAAGCTCATCCAGTTCCAGCCCCCTGCCACGGGCAGAGACACCTCACACCAGACCACGTCACCCCAAGGCTCTGTCCAGCCTGGCCTGGAACACTGCAGGATCCCACCCCAAAGGCCATTTTTAAGGCTTCTGAAGGGAAATCTGGTTCCAAGACAAGGTGAAAGGTGGTAAAACCTTAACCCCCCCTGAGGATCCTCACTGCTTTACAGAGAACACACCTGCCACAGGCTTGGCCTTCCCACCCACTTCACCCATTCAAACCCTGCCTTACTACTTGAAGGCTCAAGGAAAAGGCACCTCCCTAAGCAGGGAGCTTCAATTTCAGGCTGCATCCAAAGGAACAAGAAAAGGCTGCTGCTACTGAAGTGCCTTTTGAAGGGCAGCGCTCAGTTATGGCTTATCTGTAGCTCTCTGAGAGTGCTGTCTGCAGCCCTGTGTCCACTTTGGGGGCAACAGCACAAAGAGGGACCTGGAGCTGTTGGAGCGAGGCCAGAGGAGGCCATGGGGATGCTGTGAGGGCTGGAGCAGCTCTGCTCTGGAGCCAGGCTGAGAGAGCTGGGCTGGGTCAGCCTGGAGAAGAGAAGGCTCCTGAAGGGGAGACCTGAGAGCAGCTCCAGTGCCTGAAGGGGCTGCAGGAAAGCTGGAGAGGGGCTTGGGACAAGGGATGTAGGGACAGGAATGGCTTTAAGCTGCCCTAAACTCTTCCGGGCTCCAGAAGAGGCTCGCAGGGGACTGACAGCGCCACGGGCACTTCAGGCAGCACCAACCGCGGCAGCTCCTTCCCCTACCGCAGCCCTGACGCCCTTCTCCTCGGTGCCCGCAGCGCAAACAGCCCCCGTGCCCCAGCGCTGAACCCGCCGCTCCCTGAGCCCGAGCCGTTACCGCTCAGAGCGGCCAAGGACCCCCGGCACCCGCCCCGCGGCCCGGCTACCGGGCTGGGACCACCCCAGGGGCTCCGAGCGCCCTTCCCGGCGCAGGCCCCGCCGTGCCGGGATGACTCAGCAGCAGCAGCGGCGGCGGCGGTCGGGCCCGCACTCCGCGCCCCGCCAGCCGGGCCCGCCGCCGCTGAGGGGACGCGGCCGGAGCCCCGGTGCGGGGTGCCGGGGGGCTCCCAGGCCGCGCTGCCCGCGCTGCTCCGGCCGGTGCCGCGGCCGCTCCCGGCCCTTCCCGGTGCCCCCCAGCCCCGTTCCCCGAGCCCCGGCCGCTGCCCGCGCTCACCCATCGCGGCTCCTGCGGCGGCGGCTCCCGAGCGGCGGCAGCCACAATATGGCGGCGCCGGCAGAGGGAGGGCGACGGGCACGGACGGCGGCCGCGGAGGGACAAACCTCCTCAACGCGCGGACGGGGCGGGGCCGCTCCTTCCACCCGCTGCGTTCGGGCGGCCCCTAGCGGCCGGGAGTGGAATCCGTGTCCTGCCCCCCGTGTCCCCCCTTCACCCCCTGCGCCCACCCGCTCCCCCCCCCCAGCTCCCCACGCACGCAGTGCGGGTTCCGAGCACAGGAACACCCAAAAAACTCGGTTTATTACAAACGCTGTGCCCCGCCCGTGGCCTCGGCATCCCTCAGGAGGTGCGGGGCCGCCCGCTGCCGCCCGTCGCGATGAACACGTCAATGGGGACGTTAGGCAGCGTCAAGCAGTGGCTGCCGGGGCATCGCCGCAGCTGCCTGTGGGAGAAAGAGGAGTGAGGCAGGGGGCAATGCACGGTGCAGGAAGGCATGGCACAGCCTGGCATGGTACAGAATGGTACAGCATGGTATAACATGGTACAGCATGGTATAACATGGTACAGCATGGTACAGTATGGTACAGAATGGTACAGAATGGTATAACATGGTACAGCATGTTATAGCATGGTATAACATGGTACAGGATGGTATAACATGGTACAGCATGGTATAACATGGTACAGCATGGTACAGTATGGTACAGAATGGTACAGAATGGTATAACATGGTACAGCATGTTATAGCATGGTATAACATGGTACAGGATGGTATAACATGGTACAGCATGGTATAACATGGTACAGCATGGTACAGTATGGTACAGAATGGTACAGAATGGTATAGCATGGTATAACATGGTACAGAATGGTATAACATGGTACAGCATGGTATAGCATGGTATAACATGGTACAGAATGGTATAACATGGTACAGAATGGTATAGCATGGTATAACATGGTACAGAATGGTATAACATGGTACAGCATGGTACAGAATGGTATAACATGGTACAGCATGGTATAACATGATACAGCATGGTATAACATGGTACAGCATGTTATAGCATGGTATAACGTGGTACAGAATGGTATAACATGGTACAGCATGTTATAGCATGGTACAGCATGGTACAGAATGGTATAACATGGTACAGCATGGTATAGCATCATACAGCATGGTACAGCATGGTATAACATGGTACAGCATGTTATAGCATGGTATAACGTGGTACAGAATGGTATAACATGGTACAGCATGTTATAGCATGGTACAGCATGGTACAACGTGGTACAGCATGGTACAGCATGGTATAACATGGTACAGCATGGTATAACATAGTTCAGCATGGTACAGCAAAGCAGAGGAACACCATGGCATGGAGCTGATCCTGCCTCTCTACTCTGCTCTCATGAGACCCCACTTGCAGAACTGGGTGCAGTTCTGGTGTCCTCAGCATAAGGACATGGAGCTGTTGGAGCAAGTCCAGAGGAGGGACATAAGGATGCTCAGGGGTTGGAGCACCTCCCATATGAAGACAAGCTGAGAGTTGTGGCTGTTCAGCCTGGAGAAGAGAAGCTGTGTGGAGACCTCAGAGCAGTTTCCAGTGTCTGAAGGGGGCTACAAGGATGCTGGAGAGGGACTCTTCATTAGAGACTGTAGGGATAGGACAAGGGGTGATGGGTTCAAACTGAAACAGGGGAAGTTCAGGTTGGGGATAAGGAAGTTCTTCCCTGTGAGGTTGCTGAGGCGCTGGCACAGGGTGCCCAGAGAAGCTGTGGCTGCCCCATCCCTGGCAGTGTTCAAGGCCAGGTTGGACACAGGGGCTTGGAGCAAGCTGCTGTAGTGGAAGGTGTCCCTGCCCGGGGCAGGGGTTGGAGCTGGAAGAGCTTTAAGGTCCCTTCCAACCCAAACCAGGCTGGGATCCCACGATTCTACAGCACAGCATGGCGTGGTTCAGTACAGCACTCTGATATGGCAGGGCATGATCTGACATGAGCCAGCACAGCGCAGCACCGACACGGCACAGCTCAGCACAACACATCAGAAGCCCCTGCCTGCCCCAGCAAAGCTTGTGGGCAGCAGCAGCCCGCAGGCAAGCAGGGCTCAACCTTCCCCCCCCATCCCAGACACGGAGGGGCTCGGTGCACCCAGCAAAGGCAGTGCTGCAGGCGATGGGGCCGCAGTGGGGCTGTGCCTGCCCCCGCAGCACGTCCTGCCCACTCCTTACCTCCCCACTGCCAGCTCTTGGCCCGGGGACTCCTGCACCTCGGGGGGCACCTCTGAGCTGGGGCAGTCGCCGGCCTCGATGGGGAACTTCCGAGCCTGCAGCGCGCGCTGGGAGCTCATGGCTGGACCCTGGGGGAGAGGAAGGAGCAGTGGGACCCCTGCGAGCCCCTCAGCATCACCCTGCCCACCGCTGGGCTCCGGGCGAGGACGTTCCAGCCTGCACCCACCTCGCTGAGAATCCACCACCGGGACTGGGCAGCACCGACCTGCGTCACAATGGTACCCCCGGGGGTTCACAGGTCCCTTCTGTGTACTGCCCCGCCCCAGGGTGCCTCTAGGGTGCTGCTGAGGATTCACTGTAGGACGAACTAAGGGAGCAAAGGGAAGGCATGGAGCGGTTTTTGCTCGCCCATGGCTACCAGCTGGGCAGGACCATTGGTGAGGGGATGTACTCCAAAGTGAAGGAGGCATTTTCCCAAAAGCACCGCAAGAAAGTGGCCATTAAAATAATTGATAAGAAGGGAAGGCCAGAAGGTAAGGGGTGACTCCAAAGAGGCACTGTCCGTCCTCGGAGGCTTTGAAAGCTGGTTTCCCACCCTTGCCACCAGACAGCGGCTGGGCAACGGCTAGACTTGGTGCCCTTAAAGGTGTTTTCCAACCTGGTTGATCCCATGATTCTCTTGCTAGAGTTTATCCACAAATTCCTGCCCCGGGAGCTCCAGATCATCACCCGCTTGGAGCACAGGAACATCATCCGCACGCACGAGGTGCTGGAGTGGGCGGAAGGGAAGCTGTGCATGGTGATGGAGCTGGCGGAGGACGGGGATCTCTTTGACTACCTGGTGCGGGAGGGGCCCCTGCCCGAGCCCCGCGCCAGGGCGCTCTTCCTGCAGCTGGTGGAGGCGATCCGGTACTGCCACGAGCGCGGCGTGGTCCATCGCGACCTCAAGTGTGAGAACACGCTGCTGCACGGCCCCACCTTGAAGCTGACGGACTTCGGCTTCGCCAAGCTGCTGCCCTGGCAGCGGCAGGAGCTGAGCTGGACCTTCTGCGGCAGCACGGCCTACACGGCGCCCGAGGTGCTGCAGGGGCTCCCGCACGACAGCCGCAAGGGTGATGTGTGGAGCGCGGGGGTCATCCTCTACGCCCTGCTCTGCGCCCGCCTGCCCTTCAACGACGCCGACATCCCCCGCATGCTGCACCAGCAGCAGAAGGGAGTCTCGGTCCCCGCGCGCCTCGGCATCTCCAAGGAGGGGCAGAACCTCCTCAGGATGCTCCTGGAACCGGACATGGTGCGGAGGCCGTTCATTGAGGCCGTGCGCAGGCACCCCTGGCTCACCAACCCCTGATCTCCCCAGGTGGAAGCGTTTCTAATACTAAGATAAATTTGGAGGTCAGTGTCTGCTGTGTCTCCATCCTCGCAGGTGACAGTGCCATTCGTGCTCAGGCATTGCATGGGTTCAATCCAAGCTCTCTACAGGGTGGGAGGCAAGGGAGGTTTAAAGCAGCGACCCATAGATCCTCCTAGGGCAGCTGTACCTATCTCGTCCCCATCCCAACCCCACCCCGTTCCCATCCCGAACACAAAGGAAACTCTCAGCACAGGCAGAGACTCTGTAGAATTCCTTTAATTGCTGTTAACTGCAAAAGGTTTGGAGAAAGTCATCGTTACAAAACTACCAGCTGTTAGAATTGCTCCTGGCTCTCTCCCCAGCTACAAAAGGCTCAGGGAGAGGTGGGATACTTGAGAACAGAGAATATTGCACAGACAACCCAATGGTTAATTGGACTAAAGAAGAGCAAACCAGAAGTGACACAGAGGAGAGCACGGCACGCTAGGAGCCCTGCTGCCGGGCAGGGATGCAGCCACCACTCACATCAAACTCAGGGAGCAGAGACCTGAGCCTGCACCCACTGCTGGCACCCACCCATGGCCGGTTTTCCTGCTGCAGCTACATTTGGGGCCGGGCACCAGAGGCTCTGCCAGCCCATGTAGCTCAGCTCCAGCCCTCAAAGGTTCTGCAGGACAAACGTGCTCTCATGTAAGTGCCCAAAGGCACCACTGCCACCGATGCAATCCTTTGGGCAGCTGTGCCTGAGAATCAATCCTAAAGGGGAGAAAAAAAACCCCAAACCAACCCCAAAAACCCAACTCTTCCAAGAGTACCTGGGTTAACGCTACCCTAAACCAGCAGGAAACCCACAGCTCCAACCAAGCAGCCCTGGAAGGGGCAGAAGGACAAAGGCAGCATGTATAAAACCACCCCCCAAAGGGCAGGGGCAGCAGCAAGGGCTCCGTCTCTCTAGCATAACTGTGTATTAGCATCATCCACTGAGGAGCACCTCAGGACATGAGAAGGGAAGTGCCCCAAAAAGAGAGGCTGTGGATCAGAGAGAAGCGTTGCAAGCAGTCACAGAGGGCTTGAGTGAAGGAACCCAAGTGAGCACAGCAAAGCTGGAGACCCCGGTGGGACACAAGGGGAGCCGGAGGAGTGGACCTCAGCCCACAGGTACCACCACCCCCGAGGGCCAGGCTGGGGCTGTGCACCCCAAACTGGGCACCACAGGGAAGGGTTCTGCTCCCAGGGCAGCCCAAATCGCTGCCTGCCCGAGTGACTCAAGTTAAGAGCAAGCCACAAGTAGTTTGCTTGAGGAATTTAACTCGAAAGACACAAATGCCAGGAGAGGAAGGCAGTGCAGGGGGAAGCAGCAAAGCCTTGGCTCTTTGAGGAGCTGCTGCTCCTGCAGCAGGAAATGAGAGTTCCCATTAGAAAAAGCTTCCAAGACAAAAAGCCAGGCAGAAGCTGAGGGTTTGGAGGGGAGTTTGGCTCCTTTCAGCACGACCCAGCTCCGGGGCAAAGCCACAAACCCACTGCCTTTCTTTGCAGCAATGAGTGGCAGCAGAAGGGGCTGAGCCTGTGGCACCTCCAGCCGTGCAGCACCTGTGCAGGGAATGGTCTCCAGGGCTGGTCTGGAGCAGCACAGAGCACGAGGGAGCAGGCACAGCTTGCATCCAAGAGCCTTTGAGCTGCTGGGCTGCAGCTGACGTGCACACACACACAAGCAAGCACCTTGCCAGGCACCCAAGCACCCGGGACCCCTCACTGCATCACATCTGCCCCTACCCAGGGCAGCCAGTTTGGCTTGGCCAGTCTCTAGGACCTACTGAGAAGATGGGCTCCCTAGCAGCTAAGTGTACAAGTGAACTCTTGCTTCCTCCTCCTCCTCATCCAGGTCTGAAGGGGTCACTGGAGTTGCCCACAGGATTTAGCAGGAATGAAACTCCTCCAGCCTGGAAATGCAATCCCCAGCACAGTCACACACAAAGGAACAGCCGGTCCGTGATTTAATTCACAGTCGATGGTGGAAATGAGCCTGTGACACACACTGGAAGCAGTTGCTTTATTCCCAGTCTTCCCACTCTTCATCTTCCAGCTGCAAACAAAAGAGCATCCCCCAGTGTTTGTAACTCAAAAGCCATCTATCAACAGCTCCTCCTGCCCAGGGCACCTGAGTCAGCACAAGGCCTGACATATTCTCATGCTCTCAAGAGGGATTCTCTTGCTCTGCTTCCCTTAGGGAACTTACACACTCATCCCCCTTCAAGCATGCCCAGGCAGTCACTCTCTGCTTCAGCTAATACCCGTGACTCCCACAGCAGCATCCCAAGCTAAGCCTGTGTCCTCAAGGAGCACCTCACGCCCTCCAGAAGGCTCCTGTGAGCTGCTCTATGTGGGCAGTAGCTCACAGGCAGAGCAGCAGCAGCCACACCTCTCTGGATGCAACCCTATGTGACTGAGCACCTCCCTGGACTCACCTCTCCGGCCATTTCCACCTTTGAGAGTGCCAGCTGCACCTCTTCTTCAGTCATGTCCAAATCAAAGTCCTTTTCCCAGTCCTCACTGATGTCAGTGCTGGAGCCTGGAACCACAAACATCACGATGGAGCTGTTAGAGCTGCGTATGCTTTCCAGATGCTCTGGCCAAAGCACACAGGTGCCCAAGCAGCCCCACAAAGCCCTGGCATTCATTGAGGCTCAGATCTCCTGCAGCCTGGGAGGAGAGAAAGCCTAGGAGCAGGCTGTCAGCTCACTAACAGAGATGGGGTGGACTGAGCTGTACTTGCTTCGCAGCAAAGGGCTAGTCCAGAACAACTGGGAGAGGTGAACAGTGAAACCTGTTCTCTGGCCTGGGAGAACTGGGATGTGTCATGTTTCAGTCATGCAGAAAATACATCAGATAAGGAACGACAGGGACTGTCCTAGTCCCCAGTACAAAGAATGACCTTCTGAGGCAGAGGAGCAGCAGCGAAACTCCTCAGGGTGACACTCAGAGGGAAGGACCCATCACATTCCCTTCCCAGACCCCAGACCCAGCACCAGCACCCAGGGATCAAAGCCCTGCTGTGTCCAGCCAACAGACATTGGATTTCTTGTCCACCTTCATTCTGCCCACAGACCCAGCTCATGAACCTCCCACCGTGCTGCACCTTGAGCTGCTTTCAGTGGCTTTGTAATCCTACAACCCATATAATCACTGCTGTGGGAGCCCTGCAGCAGGCTCTGCTGAAGGCAGCATCCTCTGCAAGGAAAGGGTTGGGAATGGTGTCAGCCAGAGGGTGGAAGAGCCTCCCCTGCCAACTGAACAGAGCCAACTGTGGCACCAGCCCAGCCATCTGCCCGGAGCAGATTGTCACTATCTGATGTGACAGCCTGACCCTGCCCAACAGCAGAAGGATTTCCTTCCACTTTAGTTCTGGCCATGAGAGAACTCTTTGGATCTACCCTTCCTGAGTAACTTTGGCAAAATCCCTTTCCTCCTCCCTGTCATCATGAAAATCAGAGCCCTTTCCCCAAAAGCTGCCACCCCCAGCAGTGGGTTTCAGGCCCTGTGCTGGCCCCCACATACACACCTTTCTTGCCATTGTTGGAGGGAGTGGATTTCCCACTATCTGAGTTCAGCTCGAAGACTCGTAGATCGGATGGTCCTTCCTCTTTCAGAGTCTCTGTCCTGGCCTGGGCTTTGCTCTCCACCTCCTTGAGCTCGGTAGCAGCCGGTTGCTCTGAGGATGCTGCTGATTCCTGCGTAGGTGCAGAACGACGAGCAGGGTCTGAGGGCTTTGGCAGGGAGCTCTGCTCTTCCGAGGTGGCCTCCACCAGCTCTTGGGAGAGGTCTCCGGCCCCAGCTGGTTGTACAGCTCCAGTCTGTAGCTGCGCAGCAGGCACAGAGGCAGGGTTTGCAATCTGAGTCACAAGGGAGACGCTCTCACTGCTCTCAGAGGGGCTCCCCTCTGCTGGGGCCGGCTCCGGAGGGAGGACAGCCCAGCTCTCCTCTGAGGGTCCCTTGTGAGCAGTGGGGTGCCTTCCCTCCGGGGCTGCAGAGGCACACTCTTTCTCTGCTGCTTCTGGCAATGTGACGTTTGCACAAGGCAGGGGTGACATCCCCAAGAACTCCTCTGTAGGAAGGCAGAAGAGAAGCGAGAGATGTTTCAGCAGGTGACATGCAGCTGGGGGGCTGCAGTGGGGCTGGGAGATGAATGTGGGGGAGTGAGGAGGAGCCACCACCCTCTCTAACTGCTGAGGTCTGCACCAGCCCTCCCACAGACCCCCAACCACCCAACCCACCTTCATCCTCTTCCCAGCTCGGCTCCTCTCGGTGAATGCTCTGCTCCGCTCGCTGCTTCAGAGCCTCCCTCCGGGCTTCATCCTGCAGGGATTCAGTGTCAGCAGCTCCCGTCCCAGCCCTTCCCTCCCCATCAGTGACAAGGGCATAGTCACAGCAGCCCAGATCCCTGCACCTCCAGGAAAAGCATCTCTGGTCTGCATCAGAGAGCTCCTTGGCTGGAGCACCCACCCCGGGGGGACACCCACACCCCCCCACCTGCTCCAGCCGATGCACTTTGTAGAAGTAGCGCTGCCAGAATTCTGAATGGGAAACAGCCGCAGGGACCTGGGAATGACACAAGAAATGGGATGAGTCACTTGAGAGGGAGGGCCGAGCTCCTTTCTCTTCCCCATCCTTACAGCCACCCTTTAACCTGTGCAAAGCACCTGTGTTTTCAGGGGCACAGGCTTGGGAAATGCTCTAACACACTGGAAGGCTACAGAGGAAGTTCTGTTCCAGGCCCGTGACAAATGAGAAGGGAAGAAGAATCCTAACCTCCACGGGCCACTTCAGTCTTTTCTACCACCAGCACCAGGGCGCAGCAGCTCAGGGCTTCCCTGCACCACACCCCAAGTGAGAAGCCAGGCAGGGCCCATACCATTTTGGTGTAGAGAGCCCGGATGGAAGGGCTGGTTGCCAGCAGCTCTGCGATCTCCCCCTTTTTCTCCTCCAGGTTAAACTGAGAGAGCCAGGCCTCAAGGAGCTCAGCAGGGCCTGGAAAGGGCAAGCACACAGATACCAGATCTTGGCACAAACAGGGCAGGAACAGCTTTGGGAAGTTTCACTGGGAAGATGCTACAGACCAGACGAGATGGGAGTGAGCAAGGGAGACCCAAGGAGGAGGGAGATGTGGGTCTCTCAGCCCATCCACTCTCATGGGTCCTGTGCCAGCAAGAGGCCATGCAGTGACCCAGCAAACTCTCAGTCTAAGCTAGTCCCCAGTGCAACAGACACATCTGCCCTCCATAAGCAGTGTTCCCTGTTGAGGCACTGAGAAAGGCTCTGAGCAGCCCTGTCATACCATCAGGTTCATTGCAGTACGTGGCTGGGTCTGACTGGAGGCTGTAGAGGCGAGCCTGGAGGAGAAGAGGCACAGGGCTGAGCTGTCAGCAATGCTGGGGTGGTAAATGAGCCCCCAAGGACAAGGGTCAGGACCTCACATCCCAGAGGGAAACTCTCAAATGGGGCACTCACCTTGGCACTGTCATAGGGCTCGGTGGTGCCCGAAGGGGTTGCCATCAATGTTATGACATCGCAGTCAATGGTCTTATCCGGCGAGGGAGCAAATGTGTTTGAGATGACACCCAGGAAGTCAGAGATCCCCTTCCTCACCTTTTCAGTTGCACCTGAAGAACCTTCTGTCCTCTTGAAAAGAAAAGGCAGCACAGGGTAAGTATACAGAATCATAGAATGGTTTGGGTTGGAATGGACCTTAAGATCATCCAGTTCCAACCCCCTGCCATGAGCAGGGACACCTCAACACTAAACCAGGTCACCCACGGCTCTGTCCAACCTGGCCTTGAACACTGCCAGGGATGGGGCAGCCACAGCTTCTCTGGGCACCCTGTGCCAGTGCCTCAGCACCTTCACAGGGAAGAACTTCCTTATCTCCAACCTGAACTTCCCCTGTTTCAGTCTGAACCCATCACCCCTTGTCCTGCCACCTCAGTCCCTGATGAAAAGTCCCTCTCCAGCATCCTTGTAGCCCCCTTCAGACACTGGAAGCTGCTCTGAGGTCTCCATGCAGCTTCTCCAGGCTAGACAGCCCCAGTTTTCTCAGTCTGCCATCCTATAGGAGGTGCTCCAGCCCCTGACCACCCTCCTAACAGTGCCTGCGGCAGTAGGACAAGTCTTGCTCTCTCCTGGGTAAGTTCCTTTAAGAGAGGAGGGTGTTCCTCCTGTCAAATAACTGCTAACAAGGTGACTTGTGGCCAGGGCTGGACTAGAAGGTTGGGGGGGGGGGGGGGGCAGGCAGTCCTTAAAATAGGTTTGTGGGGAACCAAGCCTTGGTTTTGCAGGAAGGAGCAGCCAGGTCTGGGGACTGGACTGTCACTGTGGCAGCTGTGCAGGGCTAACGGCAGCAGCTTGTGTGGAGGTCTGCTGCTATGCTAGAGTGATGCTGCCACTTAGGAGTGATCCTGCTTACATGGTGCACAGAGGAAGGGAAAGCACAGAGAACCTTCCTCCACTCATCTCCAGATATTCCTCAGCACTGCAGTAAGGAACCTACGCAGTGCTCAGCACCAAACCTGCACCAGGGAGAACATCTGAAACTTAAGGCTCATGGTTATATGGTGGGACTTACTCAGAGGACCTTGACCTTAGAGATGGGTACATCCTACTGCCCCCCACTTTGCTTTCTGCAACAGGAATCCCAGCTCTTACACCCCTACTCACTGCCAGCTTGTCCTTGACCACGCTGGCTGTAGCAGCAATCGTGCAGGCTGTGTCATGCTGCACCACTTGTGTGAACTCAGCCAAGTCCCGCTTCATGAACTCCAAAGCTTCTGTGGACTGCAAGAAGACAACAAATAGATTGTGCAATCCTTCTGTGCTCCAACAAAGCCACGGTTCTCTGGGAACACCAGTCATGTCACAGAGATTGAAGTGCCTTTAGCCCAACACGTGCAATAGGTAAGACTGCAATAACCTGAATAACAACAGGAACCTGCATGTCCAACACATGATGGAGAAGGATTAAATTAAGAATGCAAAAAGACACGTTAGGAAGAGCTTTGTTCTGAGTTTTGCATATAATTAACATAAGCACTGCTGTCACAAGCAGGAAATCCCAGAATCCCAGCCTGGTCTGGGTTGGGAAGAACCTTAAAGCTCCTCCAGCTCCAACCCCTGCCACAGGCAGGGACCGCTTCCACTGGAGCAGCTTGCTCCAAGCCCCTGTGTCCAACCTGGCCTTGAACACTGCCAGGGATGGGGCACTGCAAAGCAGCACCGCGAGCACCTGCCCGCCCTGGTGGGTGGCGACTTCCGCACCCGCAGAGCCCCGCGCTGCGGCGGCCCCGGCCCCCGAGGCTCCCCCGTCCCGGTGCAGGGGCTCCCGCCGCCTCCTACCTTCTCCTTGACGGCCTGGTAGCTCTGCTGCAGCCAGCTCCGCCACCAGCCCGCGTCCTCCCTGCGGGGAACACGTGTGTGAGGCGGAGCTCGGAGCCCGGCCCGGCCCGGCCCCGCTCCATCTCCCCCCGGTACCCCCGTTCCGTTCCGTTCCCTCCCTACCCGGTCCCGTCCCCACCGCTCTCACCCCTCCGCCATCTTGGCGGCGTGACGTCACTAATATTTACCGACCCCTCACCCCTCAGTGGGCCGCGGCTCTCGTGACGTCACTTCCCCTTCCTGCTCCTCCTCCGCGGAGGGCGGCCCCGGTACGGCGGCCGGGCGGGAGCGGCGCTGAGCGGGTACCGCGAACCGGGATCGGGGTCTCCGCGGTGGTGGCTGTGGCTGGGGGGAGGTAGCGCGGCCCCTGCGGCCCGCAGCGGTTGTGGGTCCCGGAGTCCTCCTCCTTTCCCCTTCCACTGACGGTGCGTTCCCGTTGTCCCCGCAGCGGCGGGAGCCATGGAGATGCAGTCGTACTACGCGAAGCTGCTGGGGGAGCTGAACGAGCAGCGCAAGAGGGACTTCTTCTGCGACTGCAGCATTATCGTGGAGGGGAGGATCTTCAAAGCGCACAAGAACATCCTGTTCGCCAACAGCGGGTACTTCCGAGCGCTCCTCATCCACTACATCCAGGACAGCGGGAGGCACAGCACCGCCTCGCTGGACATTGTCACCTCCGAGGCCTTCTCCATCATCCTGGATTTCCTTTACTCCGGGAAGCTGGATCTCTGTGGGGAAAACGTTATCGAGGTGATGTCTGCAGCCAGCTACTTGCAGATGACCGACGTGGTCAACTTCTGCAAGACCTACATCCGCTCCTCGCTGGATATCTGCAGGAAAATAGAGAGGGAAGCGGCTTTCTATCAGGCTGATAGTGGGAGCACCGGGTCTGCCAGAGAGGGCACCTCCTTCAGCTCCAAGAGCCAGTGCTCTGCCTCTGTGTCCTCCCTGCAGGAGAAGGAAGGGATTTCGGATTGCCAGCAGGACCCTCCGTGTGGCGAGTGCAGTGGTTGCCATCCCCTGGAGCTCGTGGTCCGGGACCCCGTCAGCAGCGACTCCCCGGACGATGTCAACTCCTCACTGCCCAAAGGGGTGGAACCCAAGGTGGAGTTTGACTCGGATGAGGTGGAGGTTGAGGTGGAAGCGGGTGAGCGGCTGCCGCAGTATCCGACCCCGCTGTCCCTGGAGCAGATGGAAGAGGGGCTGCACAGCGGGCAGGCCATGGACTTGGCCTGCAATAACTATCACATGAAACAATTCCTCGAGGCCCTGTTGCGCAACAGCTCGGCTCAGAGAAAGGAGGACGTGGTCCATCACTTTGTCCGGGGCTTTGAGGGTAGGCCAGAGGATGCAGGGGTGGCAGTGAGCTCCATGATGGACATTCACAGCGACTGGTATGGTGAGGACACAGGTGAGAGGACTCAGAGGGTGCAGTCTGTAGGTTGGAGGAGGCAACCACCAAGTGTGCGACTTCCTTTGTTACTCTCGTTCTTGTGCAGGAATATATTGCTGAATATTATGCCATAGCAAAATAAACTATTGTTCTGGACTCCCAAAGAGCTGTACTCCTTTATTCAGTGCAGCACATGGCAGGTAAGTATTTCTGGTGGCTCTTCCAGCCTCTCTGAGATAGATGCTAGAGTTCAGTGTTGGTGGTAAGGCTTTAATAAACGATCTCAGTTGGGACCCGATTGAAAGGATTGTGAAAAAGACTCTTCCTCTTGTAGCATTAGTGCTATAAAGAGCGATCAGGAAGATGAGTTGAGCTGCCACAAGAGGGATCTGCTGCAGAACTGACAGAGCAGAAGTAGCTCATTCCACTGGAGTTCTTGCCAGCACATCAGCTGCTGGTGCTTTGAACTTCAAAAGGACAGAAATGGGTTTTATACAACACTGAGTGGTGCCCAGGAATTCTTTTCAGAGCACTGAAAGCTTTAAGCTCTGTGGTATTGCAGAAAGACAAGACTTAATTTTTACCTCGAGAGGCAGATTGGCTTTTCAGCTGGGCACCCGAGGTTCCACTGCCCCCCAAACCCCATGGGATGGGATGGCTCACACTGGCAGGAATATGTCCCAGCAGCAGTGGCAGAGAGCTGGAGGAAAGGAAGATCAGGTCCAGACGAGTTTCTCCTGAAAGGGACAATAAGGATTTGGGCATTTTAGTTGCTTACAAAGATGGAGGCAGCTCTGACAGGCACTGCAAGTGTCATCACTGGTCAGGATGTGACAGATGCAGGAGTGGGTTGGGCACCAGGCAGGAAACCTTTCCCCAAGTGTTCTACTCTTACATAGCAAGTACACTCACATCACTTCCAGCTCCAGTGCACATGTGTGATCTTAAAGCAAATAAACCCAGTATATTCTCTTACTGCTTTAAAAGAAGGAATCTGATAACATCACGAGACACTGAAGGGCGAAGGTTGCCAGGACAGAGCCCTGTCACCACACTGTGCCTCTGGGCGGGGATGTGTAGCAAGGCAAGAGCATCTCACACACAGAATTCAGTTACCTTTTTTCCTCTCTTTAAGTCTTCAGACCATTAATGACTCACTAAAAGGGTGGTGCTTCTAGAATTGGATAGAATCAGGTGGTGTGAGAGTGGAAATGGAGTGGTAGATGTGCTTTAAACAGGAGTGAGGAAGCCCTCAAACATGCCTTAGGTCTGTTTCTCTGCTAAAACCAAACATCGAGGGTGTTTAGTGGGATGGGAGTATCTCTCCTCACCTTTCAGTGCTCCTGCTGTCCTAGCATTTTCAGAAGACGCCAGGAATGAGAAATACAAAGTTGAAGATGAGATGAATACCAGTGACTTTCATGTGTCCACATCTATTCCTGGTTTCCTTCACCGTGGAGGGAGGGGGAGCAGGCACCTTGGAAGAGTCTGGAGCAAGGCAGGAATAGGAACTGGGTTTCTTGTTTGCTAAATGGAGCTCTAACCACCCAGCAGGGATTAGCAACACCTTGTGAAGGTCCCAGATCAGGTGAGATGGGTTTCACTCACATGTTAATACATTTAGACACTCCTCTTGGGGTTCTTTGAGACTGGGTTGGACAAACCTCAGTACAAGGAACGTTCCACAGCCTGGTGTAACTGACATAGCTCAAGGCTCAACACACAAACCCTTCCCTGGGTCAGCACCTGAAACAGGGAAAACGGATCTTGTAGTGTAACATCCCAGCCTTTATGTTGGAGGGGAAGCTCATGCCTGGGCTGCTGCTGCACAACTCTGCAATACCCATGGTTATGGAAAATGTGATCTTCGATTTTAATCCTCTTTTTTTTTTCCTGACTTCATAAATTACGTATTACTTGTGTTCATAGAGTTTAATTTCAGAAGGAAAATATCCTCAGCAAATGTATTGGAGCCCTTCATCGTGTTAGTACCAGTAGAAAGGCTGAAGTGACTGTCAGTAGAAACAAGCATTCCTGTTTCCAGATGGGCTCCCCACACCTCAGTTTAGGCATTTCATAAAAGCACATGGGCATATTGTGCTGCTACTACGTGTAACTTGTGGTTTTAGGATTTAATGCTGCTTAATGCTAATGGTGTCTTAGAAAATGGGAGACTTTGACAGCGGAGATGGTGCAGAGACCCCACTGCACGAAAGGCAAATGTCTGGTACTTAATTAAATGGATTCTTAAAAGCAAATGAATGTGTTGAGAGCCAACTCCCTCAGAGCAGCAGCTGTGTAGGTACAGGCAGGCTGAGCTTTCAGAGATGCCATCACCTGCAGCTGTGTTAATGTCTTCTGGAACTGCACAACCTCCAGCAATCCCAGGTAAAGGAAGTGTGGAGGGACAGGACAGTGTGGTTGTCTTGACTCATGTATGCAGCAGGGAGGACAAGGAGCTACCACTGGAAATCTGCCTCACCTAATGCAGTGTGTTTCTTCCCCAAAGGTGACGTGTTAGTGGTGCCCATCAAGCTTCACAAATGCCCGTTCTGCCCCTACACAGCAAAGCAGAAAGGAATCCTGAAGAGGCACATCCGCTCCCACACGGGTGAGCGGCCCTACCCCTGTGAGACCTGCGGGAAGCGCTTCACGCGCCAGGAGCACCTCCGGAGCCACGCTTTAAGTGTAAGTTGGAAGGATTCTGTCTCTCTGGGAGCTTTGGCAAGTTCTTGGTGTTTCCTGATTTCCCAAAATGTGGTGTTCAAAGCGGTTGTTGCTGATGTGAGATTAACTTGTCTAGGAATAAGAAATAATAGTAATAACGCGTAGTACAAGGTCCTGCCCCTGGTTCGAGGCAATCCCAGGCACAACTACAGGTTGGTGGAGAAGTGATTCAGAGTAGCCTGAGGAGAAGGATTTGGGGGTGTTGATTGATTTGAAACTGAACATGACCCAGCTTCAGTGTGTGCTCACAGCCCAGAAACCAGCCATGTCCTGGGCTGCATCAAAAGGAGCGTGACCAGCAGGTCAAAGGAGGTGATCCTGCCCCTAAGCTCTGCTCTCATGAGACCCCACTTGCAGCATTGTGTGCAGTTCTGGTGTCCTCACATAAAAAGGACATGGAACTGTTGGAACAAGTCAAGAGGGGGCCACGAGGATGATCAAGGGCTGGAGCACCTCTTGTATGGAGCCAGGCTGAGAACATTGGGGCTGTTCAGCCTGGAGAAGAGAAGCCGCGTGGAGACCTCAGAGCAGCTTCCAGTGTCTGAAGGGGTCTACAAGGATGCTGGAGAAGGGCTCTTCATGAGGGACTGTAGCAATAAGACAAGGGGTGATGGGTTCAGACTGAAACGGGAAATTCAGGTTGGATATAAGGAAGAAATTCTCCCCTGTGAGGGTGCAGAGGCACTGGCACAGGGTGCCCAAAGAAGTGGTTCCATCCCTGGCAATGTTTAGGAACAAGTTGGACAGAGCCTTGGGTGACACGGTCTAGTGTGAGGTGTCCCTGCCCATGGCAGAGGGTTGGAACTGATGATCTTAAGGTCCTTTCCAACCCAAACCATTCTGTGATTATAAGTTTAAGCCACAGATAGTTGAGTTGTTAGTACTTGTGTAGCTCCAAGTATGGAGCTACTTGGGGTTTGTGTAGTCCCAAGTATGATGGGATCACCTGCCCTTTAGCTGAAGCAGAGGTGTTTTTCTGGTGCAAAGGAGAACCCCAGAAGGAGCTAAAGGAGGCAGATGGCCTTTTTTACCGGGGTGTTTTAATTTTAACTTCAGGTGCATCGATCAAACAAGCCAATCATCTGCAAAGGCTGCAGGAGAACCTTCACAAGTAGCCTGTCGCAAGGGTTGCGGCGCTTCGGCTTGTGCGACAGCTGTACCTGTGTGACCACCACCCACGAGGACTCGATGCCCATCAACCTCAGCCTAATGGAGCAGTCATCAGAAGGCCAAGAGAAGGGTGATGCCGATAACGACTGGCCTATATATGTGGAGTCTGGAGAGGAAAACGATCCAGCTGATGATGAGGATGCTGATGGTGATGACAAGCAGGAGATCCACAGGAGCTTGTCAGACCGAGAAACACTTATGTAGCAGTGAGAGGAGAATGGGAGTGTTTGAAGTGTCTCTGTGACAGTGGTCAGTCTGTGACACAAGACTGAGTATTTGCCCAGTTAGTGAGACTGTGCTGTTTTTTATCATTCCATTTTTTAATAGAAAGTGGGGAGAATTGGAATTTTTAATACTTTTCAGTGCTGTGCACCAGAAATCTGTGAAGAATCTGCTGCCTGGGGTTCATTGAGGTTGTACTTGAGCAATCTCCAGTGGTGTCTCTGCCTCCTAGTCTTGATTTTATGGGTGGAACATCTCTGTGTGTTTTGATAACAGGTCTCTTCAAATAATGCTGTCACGGTCCTTAATCCCTGATCTGAAAGGGGCCCCATCTTCTCTCTGAAGATCACATTAAAACAAGTGTGTTTTTTACCCATCATCTTGGACCATTTCTAAGCTAAGTCACAATCCTTTTGTAGTAGGACAGTATTCTCCAAATTGTAAAGGTTAAGGGTTTATTTAGAGTGGATTTGACCTGGAAACCAGGGCAGACACCCAGGAGAACAAAACCATGCTGCTGCTGAGAGCATAGACAGTAAGAGTACATACATTTCATCTGACCTTAACTTTGCAGGTATTTAGAAAAGAAGCTTCTCCTTCTCAATTGCTTTTACTGCAGCTTCCTCTCTCAAGAGCTCAGCCTCCAGAGCTTCAGATGTGTGATGTTGTTTAGACTTTGGTAGTCTCGGCTTAAGCACACATTATGGTGTTGTGTGTCCTGGTCTCTCCATTTAGACTGAGTGAACTGCCCAGTTCTCTTCAGCTTTTCATGGTAGAAGTGGAAAGCTGTCAGTCAGGTCCTATGGGAATTGTGGTGGTGGCAGATGAAGTAGCCACATTCACCACTGGTGTAGCTGAGGAGTAGTTAAATATAAATGTCTGAGCTGTGTGTATAAAAGAGCTCTGATGACCCTTTTTGAAGCTGTTGGGTAGGGAACCTCAGAGTTTTTTACTAGTCTCTTTGTATGCAAATCCTTTTCTTTCTCTTTTACTCTATTTTCTTTCAGTCTTTGATGATCCTTCTCATGGTTTACGTTATTGTGTGAATTTATCCAAGTATTTGTGTTGTTTTGTTGTTTTAAACAAAACCCTCTGGTGTAGACCTCCTGCTTCTTTGCTGGGATAGATAAAGGCTGGTTTCCAAAGGAGGTGAGATCTTCTTTACCTTTCCAGTAGCAAACTGATAAAAGCTATTCAAGATCAAGCTGGGAGGCTTTAGAAGAAAACACTCCACCACCAGAAAGCCTGTTTGCTTACAGATAACCTCCTGTTTCCTAACGAAGAGGCAAAACTGAAATATACTGTGAAATAAGACTGTTAATGCTTCTTTACTGTGGTGTTCATGTGTTTCCATGAAAAGGCAAGTTGTAGGAGTCTTTCTGGCTGGAGTAAGTGCTAGATCAGAAGCCTGTGGCTGACTAAGAGTGAGCAGTTCCTCCCACTTAACAAGGCAGTGAGTGCTTCCTCAGGTTTTAGGGTAAAGACTTTACACTTTCCAAACATCAGACAGAACCCAAAACCCGAAGAGCCCTCTGATTTAACCAGTTGGATTCTTTTTGCCCATCTTATGCTTTTATTTGACGTACTGAAAAAGAACAATTCAGCTTCTCTGTCTGCTCCATCCTGCAGTGATGTTGTAATTTCCTTGGGGGCAGTGATTCTGGTCTCACAAATGCAGTTGAGAATTCATTGCCAGATGGGGTAGGGTGAGGAGAGAAGAAACAAGCTGCTTTTGAAGCCATCACTTTCCTGGTGATTCTTGAAAACAGCAGAAGGGAACAAGACTTGCTTTGAAAGGATCTGGTCTTGAGTGCCACCTTCGCAAGGAGATCCTGGCATCACAGGCTGTAATTTCAGTTGCTTGAGCTTTCAGTAGCCCCTATTCCAGGTCATCTGTAGATCAGAGCTTGTAACAGCTGAACAGTGTCATACTGACACAAATCATCCTAGAAAAATCACTGGGACACCATCTTTGAAACCTGAGGGCTCTGTTTTAGTCATCTAAATCAAGACCATCAAATGCCAGCTCATGTAGATGCCAAAGTTGGAGCCAACCTCTGGTTTTGGGTCCTTGGGGGTTTTGAATATCTGAGCAAAAGAAGGGGCTGTAAATCTTGGTGGCACATTGCAAACCCCCCTGCAGCTGACCAGGGCTAAGCCTTTGGGGTACCACTAGATCTTTGTTGAGTCCATCCAACATCGGAGGGTATTTTTGGGGATTATCTGCTTAAGGGTGAACTTCTGCATGTGAGAACACCTGGAAAAGAGTCAGATTATCTGTGTTGGGAGACAAACTTGCAAATGGAAGTGGGTAAGAATGTAAATAGGGATCCAAACTGGTATTTGGTGGCCAGGCATCCCCATTTCTGTTCGTTCTGGCATGAAGGTGCCACCTGATTGTAAATATTGGTAGAAGCCACTCGACATGGACTATTGGCCAAGCGTGGTTCTGGCTGGTGCAGCACAAACTGCTGGGAGATTCAGCTTCTCCCATGGCTGACTCTGAAAGTGAAGACACTCAGAGTAGGGAAAACGAACCTCTTGTGAAAGTCTGTGTTGTAAGAGCTGCAGGAAGAGACCTTCAGCCCTTTTACTTGAGCTTTCCTTGGTCTTAGAGATTGTTCTTGTGTGTCTTGTGCGTAGAGAATGGCGCTGTGCTGAGGTGTGTGTACCATGGGGAAGGGGTGCGGGTGGGGGGTTCACGTGCCGGGCTGAAGGTGACCACCACAATGGTGTTTCCTGTTGAACTGTCATGTTGTGCTGCTTCGTTTTCAGTGGAGTCCTTCAGCCTTTGTACTTAGGATGTAGTTTAGCCCCGTTCTTGTGACCGGGTGTTCATGTAAAGCTGTTTGCTGTGCTTTCCACTTAGGTTTTTGAATGTTTTTCTTCAAACCATTCACTGTAGATGCAACCTCCACAAGCTTTGAGAAGAGGATGTGGCTGGTTTACAGTATTCATATGGTGCTTGATGAAGAATCAAAAATAATGGGTTTAGGGAAGTTATTTCTAATACAATCTTTTTCTCAAAGGTTTTTAAAGGCCCTGCAGACTTGGTAGCTTGAAATCTTGGCTCGGCCTCACTGACTTTGTTTGGGATTATGTGTTTGAATGGACTTTTGCACATAAGTGCACTGTATTTCATGAAAGGGATACATGCTGCACTGGTATTTGTGGTGCATTAAACATCTTGGTGCAAGACCTTGTAAATCTTCCAAATGTGGTCGTTGAATTTCCTGCTGTTTTGTAAGGCAGTTTCATAACTGAAGTCCTTTGGTCTAGATGAACTGAGGAATTCTTAGAAACCAACCTTTGTTTGTAGAAGTGACTTAACTATTCTGTGGATCTTGGAGCTTTTTGATTGTCTAGAAAATAAAACTCTCCATGAGGGTTGCTTTGATTTATTATTTTACCATTCAAAAGTTGCCTGAGCAAACCTGGGAGTGTCTGGAATAAGGCTCCAGTTTGAGTTCTGGGGATGAGAAATGAATATATCCATTTCTGGTGACTGTTTGCAAGCAAGATGTAGAGTCTTGGTAGGAAAGGATGAAAAGGAAGCTGCCAACTTGCAAACCAGCTGACTTTGGGGAGGGGGGTGGGTTAAAATATCTTTTCTAGTAAGAGCCCTGGTGCCCTCAGCAGTTGTTGCAGTTTTATAATGACCTGAACTTTTCAAACTCTTTAAAGCTTTTACTTTTCCATGTTGGGTGAGCAAAAGCCACCCAAGTGGGCAGCAGCCACTGGTCCTGGCTGGAAGAAAACCCTGTCAAAGACCTACAATAAAATGGGTGCAGGAGCAGGAGCAGCCTCCCCAGTATTCTGTCTAGATCATTTGAAATTATATTGGCTGTTTCACAAACTATGAGATTTAAAACGTGGATTTTCTTGTTGATTTGGAATGTCCTGAATCAAAGAAAACCAGAATAACCCCTTCTTCCTTTCCACTGTTTTCATTCAAGCAGTGAAATCTGTTCACTTTTCTTCTCTTGCGATCTGTAGTTTAGACTTTTTGGTTCAGAAATGCCTGGGAATTCTTCATTTGGTAGTATAAAGGTTTTTGGATTCAGCTGAAGTTGCCTGTGAAACACCCCTTCAGGTGTTCACACAGCAACCTCTTTGGGGTTTGTTAGTTGTTAGAGGCAGGTGTTTGGGTACTGGTAAATGAAAGAATTAAACCAAACCAAACAGCCACCCCAAAAAAAAGCCTCTCAAAATAATGTGCCATACACAGGAACTATAAATGCTGTCCCCAAACACCCCAGGGCAATATACTGGAGGCCAGTTCTATGTTCTCATCTGTCCCACCTGAGTCTTATGCATCCAACTCAGTTTGCTTTCAGGCTTTCTCTGAATGTCCGTCTTTGACACTTTGTTCCTGTTTTCACTCTCCTTTTGCTGCTTACTGAACTTTAAAATGTAGCAGATGATGATTATGAGCAAAAAGTGCTCCAGTACAAGCAAAATAAGGGTACTTCTAAAACCAAAACCAAGCCAAGATAATGCAGTATCCAATGTTAAGCATATTTGAGGAGAAAGCAGAGTACCAGAAGGAAGGGGCTGATAGCCAGCACTCTCCTTCCATAGGGATTTGGGATCAATAGTTCTATGTGGGAAGGAGATGCTCTGAGCTGTGGGTCTCTGTGGTGTCAGCTTTGCAGCACTCACAGTCAGTCCGGGACACGCTCTGGGGGGCTGTGTGACCCCAGCAGCCTTTTCAGGTTTAATAACTGGATGTTTTCCATGGATCAGTAACAGAGGTGCTGATGTTTTCTCACAAGTGTACCTGCCCCACTGCGGGATGTGCGTGAGGGTGGAAGAAAGAAAACCAAATTGAACCAAAGCTGAGAATTCCTGTGCATCACCACCACACGTTTACCCTTCGTAAGGGGTGGGGATCACATCTTTAAGTGCTTTTTGTAATGGTGTTTTTTTCTACAGTGGGGCATTACTGAGTTCATCTTTACTCTATGTTGTGTGTACACTATATATGTTTATATTGTTGTATGTAGTCTGGTTCTTTTCTAGTTAAAGAACAGAAAACATTAAATAAATACTAATCTCACAGTAAATCTACTTTTATCCCCCATTTTTTTTCCATAGAAAATGAGTATTTTTCCATGTCTAATTGAATTCTCTTGGCACAGGGTTAGGATTTGGGTTTCTGGTGAAGCTGCTCACAGGTGATGCTTGTGCTGCCTCTGCTAATGCCACATCAAACCTCAGATTTCCCCAGGCTCTGTGCTCTGTTGAAGGTGGGCTGCTGGGTGTGCTGGCAGAGGGAAGATTCTTCCATGTGCTCAGTGCTTTGGGATTACCACTTCCTTTCCGTCTTGAAAAGTGATCTTCTGGTGGCTTGGAGGCCAAACAAGCATTTGTGCCAGAAGACACAAGGATGCAGCTGGGGATCTTCATGCAGAAATGACATTTGGTTACCAAAACCCAGGTCAGCCAATGCAGAATGTGGGTTAATAATTATTGTGTCAGCTTTAGGTCATTTTAATAAAGTGCCCAGAGAAGATGTGGCTGCCTCATTCCTGGCAGTGTTCAAGGCCAGGTTGGATGAGGCTTGGAGCAAGCTGCTCTAGTGGAAGGTGTCCCTGCCCGTGGCACTGGATGAGCTTTAAGGTCCCTTCAGCCCAAACCAGTCTGGGATTCTGTGTTTTTTTCCTAGCTTGGACCCTCTCACTCTGCAGACAAAGCTGCACCAGACTTTGATCCTTTCTCTTTTCCCTCCCTGACCCACTGCAGGTTCCTGTTACATTCTGCAATGAGTGTGCACCATTAACAGCAAGAGCTGTGAGGAGCTGGGGGCTGAGGTTGTGCTGCGTTACCCTCAGCAGGGAAGGACAAGGACAAGGATGCTGATAGTCTTTGGAATCACTTCTGCTGGTCCCCTCTTGAGCCTGTGATGTAAAAGCAAGACAAATGACAGGAAATCTGCAGGTGACGGAGAGCAGAGGATGAGCATGGACCTGTGAGGTGCCATGGCTGGAGGAGGCTGCTCAGGTGTAGGTACACCCCATGGAAGCGGCTTCAGTTGATAATTAACACCGTTGCCCAGTGGACTGCAAAGATCCATGTGAAATACTGTGTAAATTCCAGCTGCTTTCGTGTTCAAGGATGATTCATCCAGCTGGTCAGGTACAGAGCAGGATCTGTTGGGATCTTGCACAAGAACAGGCCTCAGGGAAGGCTTTAAAGCGCATTTAAAGGGAGATAGAATCTCCACACCCACAGCTTCAGATGGTTTAAGAAAGGATGTTCGTTAAACAACAGGAATTAGGCTGGTGAAAACCATTATTCAGAGAACTGGGTACAAGTTGAATATGAGTAATTGTATAGGATACACTGGCAGAATGTTTGTATCAGGAGAAAGAGTATTTAGATGTCTTTTGCTACAGTGGGGAAAGGAACAACCATTGTTTCAAGATGGAGCAACTTGAGTTATGGAAAAGAAGGCTGGAAAGGACACAAAAGGTAAGGGAGGCAGAATGGCTCCCATGGGAGAACAAGTATTTGTGAGAAATAACTAGAGTGTCAAGAGCACCAAAAAGAGAAGACCCTGGGGGTAAGAAGAGGAAGGAGAAAGAAACCAAACTTCGACTGAGGGAAGGTGAGAGGCGCAGGTACTGGGTTTGTTCAGATCCCAGATACGCAGATGAAAAAGCCAGCGTTGCGTCTCGTTTAGAGGAAGCTGCAAAGTGAAAAAGAGAGGATTTGGGTCACCAAGGCTCCTGCTGCTCGTGAAGGTGTGAGCAGGGCGCGCTTGGGGCACCGCCTGCCTCCCGGGCGGCGAGTGGGTGCGGGGGCGAGGCGAACAGCCCCGGCTGCGGGCGGGCGGGCGGAGGCAGCCGCTGGGCTGCGCCTGCAATCGGTGCGTTGCCCCTTTAACTGTGTCCCCGGCCCTCGGGCGTCTCTGTCCAACGCCCACGTCAGCAAATACCTTTTGTTTCTCTCCCGTTCGGGCTCTCGGGGCTGCGGGACCGGCGCGTCGCCTCCAGCCAGCGCCAGCCCCGCCGCGGGGCCGGGATCCCGCACCCACCGCCCGCTCCCTTTGGATCAGCGGCAGCCGCCCGCAGGACCCGCCCGCTCCAGCACGCCGGTAAGGCCGGGCCGGGCGTTGCGATTTGGGGGCGGAATCGACGCCGGAGCGAGCCCCGCTGCGAGGGCGGCTCCGGGCTCCTCGGGCTGCGGGCTCCGTGCCCTCAGGTTCCCGTGCGCTGCGGGGTCCGTGCGCGGCGGCCCCGCGGAGCCGATCGTGGTTTGGGCTGCGCGGCGTCCTCGGCGGGCGCCATTTGCAGCCCCGGGCGCGGCTGGAGGGAACCGGGCGCGGCAACAAAGGGCTGCGCGGGAGCGGGCGGCGGGGCGCGGCGGGAGGGGCGCCGGCAGCGCGGGGAGGCTGCGGCCAACCTGGGCGGCCGCGACTCGGGACACGCCGGGCGGCGGCGGAGCGGCAGCCGGGGCTCCGGTACCGCGGGCGGCTCCGGGCTGCACGCCCAGCCCAACGCAGCCCAGCCCTGCCCTGCCCTGCCCAGCCCTGCCCAGCCAAGCCCTGCGGAGGGCAGCGCACGCTCTCCCGGAGCACCGACGGTCGCGGGCGCTGCGGTGCCCGCCGTTGGAGCGGACCCCCGCAGCCACCAGGCGCCTCCGCGCTTCGGCGGGCGGGTCCGGCGGCGCCGGGCGACCCGGGCGGCCGAGGGCTGAGCGGCCAATGCGGCCGGGCGGGCGGGTGAGTGACGGCGGCCTCCGCCAATGCCGGCCGGGAGGGCTGCGCCCGCTGGGTCGCCGCGCCGGGTCCCGGTTCTGGTCCGTTCTGGTGGCGATGCGGTACCGGCGGCTAGCGGCGAGGACGCGGTCCCGGTCCCGGTCCGGGGGAGCTGCAGCGCTCCTCGTCTTCCCAAATAGCGTGTGGCGGCCTCGGAGCCCCGCGGGCTGCACCCCTCGGCCCTGCAGCCTCGGAAGGAGACGTTGCCGGCTGCAGCACAGGCGTCTCCGCCGCACGGCGTGTGCCTACTCGGCTGCTCCATCGCGGTTCTCTCCTGGGAACGTCCGTCTGTGCATGCTGTGATTCAAATAAATCAGATTATTTGTAAGGGTAACTGCAAAATCGGACCTGACATCTTTGGATGAGTTGCACAACGCTGAAGTCGAGAGACTGAATGGTTTTCTTTATTTTTCAGAGCAACGTTTCGTTTCAGCTGCTCTGGAATGGAGATTTCTTCTCACCAGTTTCACCTCTTGCAGCAACTGAATGAGCAGCGCAGGCAGGACTTGTTCTGTGACTGCAATATCCTGGTGGAGGGGAAGGTCTTCAAAGCACATCGCAATGTGCTCTTTGCCAGCAGTGGCTATTTCAAGATGCTGCTCTCTCAGAGCTCAAAGGAGACGAGCCAGTCGACGACAG